TATATTTTTTGTATTATTTTCTTTCTTTTAATTACCTAAAAAATACTTTCTGACATTTTTTTAATTCCGAAAAAATTCATAAATATTATTTTGTATATTTTTGACTTTCTGAAAATTTTATGGAATTTTATGTTGAGGTTTACTATTTTTTACCTATTTTATGTTTGTTTGAACAATTTTAAATAGTTTAAAAATAGTTTCTGACTTTTAAAAATTACTAAATTTTTTATAAAAATATTTGGATCCACTTCTGATTTTTCTATAGCCTTATTTTTCATTTCTTGATTAATTTGAACATAATTGATATTTTCCCCATTATTTTCTATTTTTAAACATTTTTTAATGTATATATTAAATATAATATTATTTTGTGATTATTTTCTGGCTAATCTTGGGTTAGGTTTTGGATCATGAACTTTATTAACATCATTGGATCCATGGTGTTGAGTTTAACTCCACACAAAAAATGGATGAATGATTTTAATAATAGTTTGATTAAAATTTAATTCAAATGTGGTTTGTATATTCTTTTTTTACCTTAATCCTCTTCATCTCATCCCCTTCTTATTGCACTAAGTGTTGTTGGAGCATGATCTTTATATCATGTCTCAAAATAAATGGTGCATAGATTGCTATTGACCGGCCTCAAAATAGGTGTGACTTCTATATAAGTCCACTTATGATTGCTTAACATAGCGCTAAATTTTGTCCCGATTCGAATAAATGATCATTCGTGGCCCAAACTTATGATTGCAAGCCCAAGTATGTTAATTTGATCTTTTTGATCCAATAACTTTGAGATTCATTTTGTGGAGGTTTTGGTTCTACCAATCCTCTAATGGATCTATAACACCTTTGGTCAACGCGTATCACTTAAACATCGTTGATTATTAAATAGTACTTGTGAGAATTCCAAATGGATGATATACTTGACAAAAAGCAAATGCAACTTGTTGTGTGGAGGCTTTGGTTCTACCAATCCTCTAATGAGTTCCAAATGTAAGTTTCAAGATGGTCATCCAACTAACCACTAATTATTGTCTTGTTTTATCTTATGCTTTTATTCTTTTTTCTGCTTTATGTACTATTTATTTTTTAGCATTTACATTTCATGCCATTTTCATCTTTGCTCATTTGAGCATTTTTTTTCTTGCCATTTTACTCTGCTCACTTGAGCTTTTTCTTTTCTTTTCTTAGCCATCAAGTTCACAGCAGCACCACCATCAATGAACACTTTGTTCACAAGAAAACCATCAACTTTAACCCTTATAAACAAAGGCTTGAGATAATACATCATATCAGACGTATCTTTCTCAAACATTGCATGTTGTTCTTCGACCACCCCATTACTCATGACATAGTAGCATAAAGGTTTTTGGCCTGCTAATTCTTCGAACATGGCTTCCTCTTCGTCTCTAGATTTCTCTGACGCGAAACCATACTCATTAGGAAGGACCGACACAATATTACAATGAATAATCAAACCATCTTATGAGTCATCTTCAAAGTCGTAAGATATTTTATCGTCCATGTTGTCATCACCAGGATTTTCAACTTTTGCTGATGGCGCACTCACAACCGCCATTGATAACCTCTCTTTTGTTGGTCGATGGTGCACTTCCTTTTGAATGCCTTCACCCTTTTATGGAGCAACTTTTAATGCCGCTTCTCTTCCAGCTTTTTTGTTTCTCTGAAACCTTCTCCACTGAGTCTTTGTCATAGGATTTTTCCCTTTGTATGTGGGAGGAACATGATACTTCTTTGAAGTGATGCCAGTTTCAGCAAATCGGGAAGAACTTGATCTTTTCTCCATCATTTCCCACTTATGACTCGAACCTAAACCTTTCTTTACTACCTTCTAATTTTGTTTTGCCCCTCTTGGATAAAAAGGACAAACCCAATTGTTATTAGGAACATCAGTTGGTGGCACAAAGATCCTTTGATACAGAAACCTAGGTTTCCCTTGGGGTACTTGGACATTGTACGGTCCCTTTGCATGGTCGAACAACATCTTTGGATTATTCTCTTAAGGGAATTTCTTCTTCAACGCCTCAATTTTCTTTGCAGCATTTTCTCCATAGACTACGTACACAATTTGGGCATAACATAGACATGGAATTACCCATCTTGTACCTATTTAAAAAATCCACCAACTCCTTTACAGGTTTGGGAAAAACAACCTTCATTAGTTATGCAACTATTTCTTCATACAATTCCTCATTCTTAGTTTCACAATCCATTTTTCCCTGTCGCCTTGATTACCTCCAGGCTCTTCAGCAATATCAACTACCATCACTTCTTGTGGCTTAGACAAATTTCCATTGCCACTTTTGAGACCTTCAGTAGTCTCGACTATTACAACTACCATTGTATCGGTGGTTACAGCTTGTTCATTCTCAAAACCATCAGTGGTCTTGATTATCAATGTTGTGAGTGAGTCGATAAGATCCACTTGTTCACCTTTGAGACCATCAGTAGTCTCGATCATCAGCACTTCTAATGGTTCGACAAAGTGCGCATCAGCAACATGTAAAGGATCTGAGTCGCCTTCATGGAACTTTTTGGTTTTTCACCAAATTTCAATCGGCCATCTTTCAAAGCCTTCTGAATCAAATCCCTAAAAAGAAAACATTGAGAAGTATTATGACCCAAAAAATTATGATACTTGCATAAACCTCTTTTTTGTTTTTGCTCTAATGGTGGATTTTTTACTGCTTGGAGGCACTATAATCTGACTATCTGAAACTAAAAAATAAAATATTTCATCATATTTTGACACATCAAAAGCATATGTTTTGGTACTAAATATATAATTTTTTGGTTCTTCGACCATCTTTCCTTTTGACGGTCTTATAGGTTTACATGCATATGGAAGTCTGGCTTTTACTTAGCCACATTAACTTCTCCTTCTTCAATGTATTCATCCTCATACTTTATGGAATAATCTTCTGAGTCTACATAATCCACTTTTCCTTTTCTATGATCCTTTGACACCCTATCTTTCTCTATTTTCAAACATTCAATATATCAAACCTTATCAGCTGATTGAGGATCAAACTTTTTCCTAATAGAATAATCTAAGCCCCTAGCGGCCATTTCGACCAGCTCATGCTCAGGAACTCTAGTGAAGCATCTAGACTTTAGGACCCTAAACCTATTCAAATAATCTTCCACCGACTCAGACTCCTTCTCTTGATTGAGGATAACTCTTTCAAACTCATCTCAGGCTGACCAGCATAAAATTGCTCATGAAATATACCCTCAAGTTGTTCACAAGTGTGTATGGAATTTGGAGGAAATATCGTAAACCAAGTCAAAGCATTTTTGGTAAATGAATTAGGAAAATATCTTAATTTTAAACCCTCGTCGTTGGCGATATCGCCAACTTCTGTTTCGTACCTAGCGATGTGTTTAATGGTTAACTCATTGGCATCACCAGCGAACTTGGTAAATTTAGGTACCTTACATCCCATAGGTAATCCGTCGAATGTAATCCGGCAAGGGCGAAGAGTAATTGGGCCTCCGAATGCCAACATTGACCCTAAATCGTGTTAATACTTCTTCTACTACATTTACCATGTTTTTACGCCCAACATTGGCATTTCTTAACACTTGATCAACATCTTGGTTTCTCCTAACTACGACCGGTCTAGGTTCGTATTATTCACCGATATCTTCCTCTTCACAAGTGGGTGTTTCCATTCTTCGAGGTCTAAAAGGATGCTCATTGTTGCCCCCATCTAGTTCTTCAAAAACTCTTAACATCCTGTGGCGCGTTTGAGTTTGTTGGACTCCGAATGAGTCAACCAATCTACTTATTTAGTCAACTACAGGATTGAGGGAAACTCCCATTTATTGAGTTAAGACAATTACTAACTCAAAATTACTCTCATCCATATGTTGCCTTAAAGCTATAACAAAAGTAGTATTCAAAGATGATGTCGACTGAGGGACATAACTAACACCATCCGGTCGACCACTTGGGACATAACTGCCTTGGTTTTCAGTGGCCATTGTGTTCTTTGTATATGTGGTCGGGTTCAACTGCAAACCAACTATCATGGAATAAGGCATACCATATTAGTAAAGGACAAATGGTGACCCTGGATCCCCTGGAAAGAGTGGTCGATTTGGGTCAAATGGTGATATCACATGCCTAGGTTCTGTCATTGTGACGGTTGCCACTGAATCATGAACAACAGTCGATCTCACAGAAGATAAAACTGTCACGCTTTGAGTTGTGGTACTAACTGGTATGACGTCCACATTTTGTGTAGAAATCTGCGTAGGTGCAACGTTTGTGTCAGAGCGTGGCATTCTAGACTTGGACAAAAGTTTACCACTTCTTAAATTCATACACACACAAACTAACTATAAGAAACTTTGTAAAATCACACACAAAATACGAAATTATTAGCACTGACCCACCGGGTGTGCCAATTTGTTTACCTCTAGTTTTGGCAAACAACGCTGGTCTCTTAACAAAAAAATTACTAGCGAGATCGACCAGGGAATCTTAGTAAAGTGTTTCAGTTTTCGAGTGTTTTTCACAAAGTATGTTCAAAAGGGTTCATTCGACTAAGGCGAAACGAATTTAAAAGCAATAAAGCAGAATTTGTAAAATAAAACAAAAGACGTTTTAAACGTAAAAATAGATGACATAACATCAAAATAGTTGAAAATGGATTGATTCAAACGTATATTTCCCTAGTTGGACTCATTTCGCTCGTTTGCTTGGGTACTCTGAGTGAGTAGCGTGTAGGAATGTGAAAGTTTGAACCTCTAACGCTATGTACTAAGTGCTTTATTTATAATACACATAAATAACTACTTTCTAGTAGGCTTTGCTTCTTTGTATGCCACGTGTCTCTTGTAACTTCTCTCCGTCTCTTATAACTTCTCTCCATGATCTCACGTTCTCCATCCCTGCTATCGAACCCACGTTCTCCATTCCTACTGTCGAACTCATGTTCTCCATCCATAACAATGTGCTTTGCTAGTTACACACTCTTTGAGCTTTTTAACGTTCCTGGACCCAATCTATTCCTCATGAGGTCTCTTTTCTGATCGACTGCATCCACAAGCTCAACTAATTATTTGTGAAATCTCTTCCGATCAACTACTTTTGTAATCAACTTCCTATAATTCAAAGTTCTTGAAGAACCTTTTTTACTTTTAGTTAGATTTTAATTCGTGTGAAAATCATAGCTAATAACCCGATACATTTGGATAACTAAAAAATACATATTTTTTTTAAAAAAGATTATTTCAATGCACTACGTAAACTCTTAACGGTTAACACATACTACCATGGCATAGATTTTCACCGGAGGCAGTTTAGTGCCAATCTCCTCCATTCAATTTTCTATTCATTAAAATAATATTATATAAAAAATTAGTGTTTGAGATTTCACTGAAATAATTTATCAAGGGAGATGATTTATTCCCAAATGTATCATACAAGACTTATGTGTGAGCTCATACATCGACTAACTTTCATTTATAGTCCCTTTAATTTAAAATGGTTAAAAATAAATGAATAAAATAAACTTACGAGAATAAAATAACTTTCATTTATGGTACCTTTAATGTAAAATGGTTAAAAATAAATGAATAAAATAAACTATTTAAGTGTGGGAAAATTGTTGGCTAGAGAGAAATAGAGACAAAGGTAGCAAAAATATGGAAATTTAAAGTAGCAAATCCAAACCCCTGACTGAGTTTGCACTTTGACACGGTGGAAATTTATTGAAAAATGTAGAAATTATTTTATATTAAATTTTTTTACAAGATATTAAATATTAATTAAAAAGTGGAATTTATAACTTTTACCCATTCATTTTCTGTAGTGAGAATCAAATGAACTCAATTCTCATACTCCCTATGGCATCTCCTTTCAGATTCACGTAATTGTTACTACATGTTTGGGTTCACTATGTCATTTTGTTGTTTTCTTCTTCCAATTTTTCCACTATATTTCTCTCATTCATCTCATATTATCATAGTATCAATTTCTAAAATTCATCATCTCTCTCACATAAATGAACCATAAATTAAGAAAAGTAAGAATAGCTCTAAGAAACTATACAAATACAGCACTGACTACTGATCGAACTTATAGAAGGGCTCCATCATATATTATGTCTAACAACATTAATAATAATAATAATAATAATAATAATAATAATAATAATAATAATAATAATAATAATAATAATAATAATAATAATAATAATAATAATAATAATAATAATAATAATAATAATAATAATAATTCATAAATATCAAAAGAGACAACATGCAATTGTTGCAATCCAATCACACATATGATGTATAATTATATAGATGGAAAAGAAAAAAATAGCTTGATTATTAGAAAATATCTAAGAAAATGCATAGTTTCAATCACTAGTGTACAGTATATATTGAAGCAATGAATTATAATAAATAAACAAATAATGAAATTAAACTCATAGAATCACAAATCACAACAAAATACATATGCAATAAGGATTAGATGATAAACCATATAATTATAAGCAGAAAAAAAACTGAATAACTTGATGAAAAGCTTCTGAAGAAAGTAATAATATAAATCCCCCTAAAACATTGAGAAATAAAGTAAGCAATAGTTTCTTGATGGAAGAAAAAAAAGCATGATAAATAATATTAAAAGATAGTATTAAATTTAGTGACTACTCTTTGTAGGTTTGCTTTTACGCCTAGCTCTGCTGCTTCTACAAGAAACCACACCTTTTGGAACTTGAATCTCTTCTTCTTTTCTTACCATGCATGTTTCTTCATTCTTCTCTTCTTTTTCCATTGAATCTTCCCTTGTGTTGTTGTTGTTGCCTATAGAATCTGCTTCTTTTTGTTCCTCTGAACTTTCCTCTTTCACAACAATCTTACGAGGTCTACCTCTTTTTCGACTAGTTTGAGGTTGTTGTTCATCTATTGTTGTTGATGCTTCGGCTATTGCTGCCCAAACTTCCTTTGTTTTTTGAGGTTTCTTACCCATAAATGATAAACACTTCTTTCAATCTCTCTATCTAGAAAATATATTACACAATCAAATCTTTGATAAAAGAGTGAGAACAAAACATATGAATCTCTTTCTAAGGCAAAATAAATAACACTTTCTCTCTCCTTCTCTCTCTCATGTATATATTAAATATAATATATATAAGGTTTAGAATTAAAGGCAGACCAATATCTTTGACCAGAATCAAGATTTTGGAAACACTAGTCTTAAAAAAAAAGTCTAAAACCAAGCACTCCTGTGAAACCCGTCGACAAAACCATATACACTATATTTACACGTCTAGTGGTTATTAATTATTTGAAAAACTAAAATAATTCAATATAATTATGTGTTGATAAGATAGGGAAAATATTTTTAAATTTAAAATAAACATTATTTCTTCTATCTAATCATCATTCTATTTGCAAGATAATTTTTTTTTGAAAAAATTGATATTTCAACTCATAAAATGATATTAGTTATATTTTCTAGATTAAGTGTATATTTTTTTCTTATCTTTTAAAAATAAAATTTTTATGTTCGTTAATTTTAACTCAACTGAAAGAAATTAATATTATTAAATTAAATAATATTATCAAAGTTCGAATTTTAATATTTACGATTGTACGTCGGTTTTTAAGTTTTATTACCGGAAAAAATCTATTTAAACATTATGATGTCGAGTTTTTAAACTTCATCACATGACTTTTAATATAATATTAATTTAAAGATAGAATGTTAAACTAAAAAAAAAATATATAATTAAAGATTATAAAACTTATTTTTAAAATAGATAATCAAAATTCATTTTTTTTAAGTAAAAATTTCAGTAAAATCTAATATTCAATTGTAAATTATAATTAATGCTATATAAATATATAATATATTAATTTTCATTTTAATTTATTATAATAATAAATAAATCATTTTATTTTTGAATATTAATTAATACATATTCAAATAAATATTTTCAAAAAAAATATGTCTATTCAAATTTGAATTTAATATTTTACTTAAAATATCTTTACACTTAAATCAACATATTATAACCTCAAAATATAAATAAATTAATATTCAATAAAATAATATAGTAAAAATATATTATTTATATACTTTAAGTGTGAAATGGTAAATTAAGTAGAGGTTTTATTATTATATTTTTTTAACTGAAAAGGGCTTTAGCCCAAAATATATAAGAAAAATAAGTACAAAAATAAAAGAAACATTAACTCAAAACTTTAAATTTATCTAACTCTAAAGTTAGGAATACCTAATTTATTTTTAATGAAGTCTTATTCAACCGACAAAATTAAATTATTTTATAAAGTGAAATTAGAGACGCTTAATCCTAAGTTAGCCAATTTATTTGCATCTCTTTTATGTATATATGTGTCGTCAAAATTAAAAATTTCATAATTAAAACATATTATTGTCAAAACAACTAATTAAGAATTTGATTTTATCGGATCAGAGATGGACCGTCACAGTTGGCTCGGACAAAAGTTGAGTGAGATGGAGGGGTACCTACAAGATACTCCGATGGCAAATTGAGAAGCGGAATGAGCAAGCAAGTAAGAGTTCTGAGATATGAGTTTAATATCTGGCCCTCTCAAAAGAGAGGATATTTATAGTCTCCAGCGTTGGGCCAAGGTCTCTTTATTGGGCTGATAAAAAAGGCCCAACAAGAGACTGTCAGGTACTACGTGTATAATGGGGACCCGCATGTGGCCCCCTACCTGGAAAACGTCCTCTGTAAGACAGGGAGGATAGGGACGCGATCTTTCCAGGACCATGAAGACTCCGTGAAATCCGGAGAGGTTGGAAGTCAACCCTACGAGGAAGGTGCTTGGGAGGAGCGCGTGCTCGTCGGGGATGGTCTCTGCGAGCACCGACGGGAAGCAGTCTTGGTGACAAGACATCTGTGGTCAGGATGTGCTCGGTGGAAATATTACTCAGCACAGCAGGTTGGCAAGCTTGGATTGGGCCTCACTGGTAGTTGGGCCAAGGGTAGGCCCAGTCCAGAACAGGAGCCCCCCAAGTTGTTGCTCCTGGTGAAGTAGTTATGACTTGATTCAAGTTTTCCCCTTCGCAAGACTCACTGCGCGACACAGGGTTTTTCTACTGTGGACGGAATACGTCGCCTGGTTCATGATTTGCTTTGTGCAGCGGTCGAAGAGTGTTCGAGGAGTACTCGCGGGGAGAGGATGATACACTAGTCAGACACGTGGCATGGCTCTTGGAAACCACAATGGCGGCCTAGGGAGTAGGGGCCATCATTGTCTAGGCGAGTAGGTGTCGAGGATAAAGGCGGTTTGTGATTCCCTGACGCGACGTTTCACATTCCACGTCATCTCTATAAATAGGGCTTCAGGGCCCATAACTTATTTTCACATTTTCACGCTCTCATATTTTCTCTACTGTCAACACCGCGCGTTTTCCTAGTGTCACTGAGACCGCCGCACAGTCTGTCGTTTACTTATCTCCACAACCGTCGCTCCTCACTTTTTCTCCAAGTAAGCGTTCTTTTTCTTTGCTATCTTGTGTTGTAGATAGATTTTGATGGTGTTTAGTGGTAGAATTTCGTGTCTGGGGATTATGCCCGGGGAATTCAAGCGCTTTATGCGTCTGATTCATGATCATGCCAGCGGCGTTCATACATTTAGGCATACGGTTTATGATCGTGCCCGTGATATTCATGCGTTTGGCTAATAGATTTATGAACTTGGTCGGAAGATTCATCCTTTCGTTATTATGTAGGCTAGTTTTCCCCGTGGTATTCTTGTATTTGGCTAGCAATGTTATGAACTTGGTCGTGAAATTCATCCTTTGCTCGTGACATTCTTACTGTGCCCGTGATATTTATGATTGATATATACGTCCGCCGTTAAGTTCGGTGTTCAATCGAGGTCTATGTGTTCCCCCTCTTTCGTGCGAATGGTCGTTGACTCGGTCTGAGTGTTGCTTACTTCTCCCCGTCTGTGTCGCGGAAAAGCGGATTTGCTATCGAATTCACCGGTTTCCTGTACTTTGCAAGTAAATGGCTGATACTCCTGAGTCCTTGGAGCATATTGAGACTGAGGAAACCAGCACTGCCGAGGAAAGCATGAATCTGGTCGACACCATCGATGACCCTACTCTGGACTGGGTCGGTGCGAAACCCCGGGGGATAGCTTCGATCTATAGCTATACTGGAAGGAAAGCTTACACTGTCGTCGAGTACGGCGGCGGCTAGGAGGGGTTTCGGAGAAATTTTAAGATCATGAGGCCGACAAGGGACACCCGCATTTGCTCGGAGTTTACTCAAGACGCCTTCCCTATGTACAAGATCGTATTTAAAGATCTCAGGCTCTGGCTACCTTTCAACGACTTCCAGATGGGAGTGTTCAATCACTTGAATCTGGATCCTTCCCAGATTCATCCTAACGCGATTGCCTTTATCTGGGCATTCGAACTCACATGCCGCTTCCTGAGGATCGAGGCAACGATTCCCCTGTTCTTTAGGGTTTTTCACCTGCAACGGCAATCCCGAGGAGGGAAGCATAGCTAGGTGTCCCTTAAGCAGTCGAAGAGGCTATTTAGGATGTATATGGATTCTGTTCTAGATTTCAAGGATAAGTGGTATATTTTGCAACCGTCTACTCAGACAGCCGTGGATTCACTGTTCGAACCGACTGTTGTGGTGGACGAGGACGGGGAGCCGTGTTTGGATTCTGAGGGTAATCGTGAGATTGGGAAAGTCTCAAAGTTTCCCATCCACTGGTGCTCGGGCCATTACGACCATGGACCTGGATACTACCACACTCCCGCTGGCGGTATGAGCGCCAAGGACGGGGAGGCTTATGGTGTCCTGAACAAATTTGTCGACGGTTTCTTCCCTGCTCAGTGGGTTACGAGGGAAGGGAACGACATTCTTGATGAGGATGGCGAGCCGACATTCGAGGCACGTCCGATAAACACCAAGATGCTTGTCGAATGCCAGTCTTACGGGTAAGCCGTAGAACTCTTAGGTTTCTTGCTTACTCTATTGATAGCCTTCTTTATTTGTTTTCTTCGATGTGGCTAACCCAAGTACATTTCCTTTTACAAGTCACATGGTAGAACGTCGAGAGAGGTTGCTGAAGCTGACCCAAGATAAGAAGATCAGCAAGAGGTTGGTGAAGCCGCAACAAGCCACGCGAATGGGCTCGACCCCCGAGTCGGGCAGGGAAGGATCCAATGGATCCTCGGGTTCCCATGACACCAGCGTCAATCTGCTTTGATTAGCAAGAAACGGAGTCGACCAGAAGGTGGAGTCGAGGTGACCGATGGAGGGGCGGGTGCCCGGGCCTTCATCTTGCCACCCTATTTTGTGGAAAAAGATTTCTTTGAGGGGTTTCCCTTGACCGTATCCGACAACGAGGCCGATATCGTCAGACGACTCGAAAAGGAAGGTCGGAGGAAGCACCTCGCTGCCAGCATGATCGGGGTGGTGAAAATGGTCGAGATGGCAGTTGTCCTTGTGGGCGAAGGGTCAAACTCCTTGGATCGGGTCAAGGAGCTGGAGTCGGAGAAGGCAGCTCTCGTGGCCAAAACTCACAAACTGAAGGATGCTCTTGAACGCTCCGAGGAAATGTTTCAGGAGCAGTCCGACGTGCTGTCGGGAGAGAAGGAGAGGGCCGACAAAGCCCTTGAGGACAAAGACTGCCTCCAGCTTGATAAGGAGCAGCTGGAGAGTGACAACCAACGGCTGTTGAGAGAGGTCGAAGATCTGAGGGCTGTTATGCTTTCCGCGGAGGACGAGCCTGAAGGGGTAGCCGGCTTACGCACGCGTGCTGACTTCATCGCTCGAATTTAACTTCTGGAGCCGGACTGTGTTGACCCTTTGGCCGATGGCTTTGAGTCCGCTGTGAATCAACTGTCCGTGCTGAATCCGGAGTTGAATACCAAAGGGACTGGGGTTCTATCCCAGGTTGTTGATGGTTGGGTGGTGCCTCCTCCTGACTCTCTTAACGTCGACG